CAAGGGTCTTGTGCTAGTCCATGTCCTCTTAAATTTTATTTAATTCAATACTGTCACCTAGCCTGTCCTCCACTTTTATTATTCCTAAGATGTGACTCTCTTTGCCTTCAGTTTGATCTTTCAATGTCTCCTTAAGCAATATATTTCTTCCTCTCTTATCAACTACCTTAATTATAGCACAATTCTCTTTGTCCTCTAAACTGTCTTCCTAAGGGAGTTTTCTAAGTCCATTGTTGTAAAAGAAGTCAAAAACAGTCTTGTATGATCAGAACCCTTGTTCCAGACTGTCTAATGTCAATTTGGCACTGCATCTTCTATGTCTTCTTCATCATTGTCTGGTACTAGTTCAGAAGCAGTCATCTCCATCAAGTTGTCTTTTGTAAATTCCTCTGGTGTAGTGTCTATTAGCTCTTTAATTTTTCTTAAATCTGTATCTTGAAACCATTCAATCCTCCACCATTTTTGCCATATCCATAATCTCTTTCATGATTTCCTTGATTGACTTTGTTGTAAATCCTGTGAAGTTAGGTACAACATCTAGACACAGTTTTCTCCAGTAGGAATTTATTATTTCAGGCTTGATGGTTTTCACAGCTTTTTCTATAACAATGGCATCTTCAATGCTGTAATCCCTCAGACTTGCATGATGTTCTCTCTTTTGGGGTTCTCTTGCATAGCATTAACAATTCTCTCCATAGAATATCATGTGTAATGAACCTTAGAGGTCCTTATGACCCTCTGTGGTTGAATTAGAGGCATTGTGCTTAGGGACAAGTAGATCACTTTGATGCCTTCAGTGCAAAAGTCTGGCATCTGGTGTTTATGTTTGCCCTTCAAGACTCAGTTATTAGCAGCTTTATAGATAAGGGCAGTACTGATCATAAACCTGACTGCATTTGCACAAAACACTAGAGTTAGCCTCTCCCTTCCTGCCTTAAATCCTAGTGCTTGCTTCTCTTCCTTATTAATAAAGTCTTTTGTGGGGTTTTTTTTGTTGTTGTTGTTTTGTTTTTTGTTTTTTTGACTAAGGCACTTCTGCCTGCATTAAAAACCTGTTTAGGCAGATATCCTTTTTCTTCAGTGATTTTCTTAATGGCATCTTGGAACTCATCTGCTGCCTTTTGGAAGCTGTTTCTCCTGTTATCTTGACATTTTTTAAGCCAAACCTCTTTCTAAAATTATCAAACCACCTTTTAGAGGCATTACATTATCCAGCTTTAGATCTTTCACCTTCCTTTTGCTTTAAGTTATCATATAATGACTTTGCTTTTTCTCGAATCATATTAGAGTCTATAGGTATGCCTTTCTTACCATAGCAATCCCACATCCACATAAAATCTGCATTTTCCAATACAAGATCAAAAGGTATTATTTTGCAAAAAGTACAAGGTGTTTGTGCCTACTGGCATACTTGCAGCAATGCCTTCATGAATTTCCTTTTTTTTTTTTTTTTTTTTTTTTTGCAGTGGTCCTTAACACTGGATTCATTTGTCTTGAAATGGTGGGCACCCTCAGCTGCAGATCTTAATCTGCAGTATATATCAAGCAATTCAACTTTTTCTTGTATTGTCATGACTTTGCTTCTTGGGAGCACTTCCTGCATCACTAGTGGCATTTCATAAGGGTTCTATGGTGTTATTCAAGGTTTACAGTATTGCACTAAACACGAGAAATATGCGAAAAGTGAGAGAGATTAAATTTTACTTTGATATGCTATTTACTGGAGAGGTGAACTGCTCACACAGAGATGATTGTCATCACACGGTATTTTGGGCAGACACAACACTTGAGCTCACCATTTGAGCTTACTGCAACAGTAACAGGAAATGGCTATGAAATTTTTACAGTAGTACAGTATGTACTACAGTAAATTTTATGAAGTTATGATATAGTGCTGCATCTTTACATTTGTTTACATTTCTCTCAACTGCAAATGGCACCATGTCTGTGTCTGTGTGTAGAAGTTTTGATAAATTTCAACTTTTTATTAAATATTTGTGTATATTTTATGGTAGTAAATGATAGAATGACCCTACATATATTTTATGCACTCATGACATGCCTAACTTTAAAAGTGCCTTATTAACTTTTTCAATATTTCTGGGCAGTAAAGCTCATCTGTGAGTTTTTTCAAATTGTTGCAAATCTCCAAAGAATTTTCTGATATATTTACTGAAAAAACTTCACATGTAAGTGACCAGGCGCAGTGGCTCATGCCTGTAATTCCAGCACTTTGGGAGGCCAAGGCAGGGGAATCACTTGAGGCCAGGAGTTCAAGACCATCCTGGCCAACATGGCAAAACCTGTCTCTACTAAAAATACAAAAATTAGCCAAGAATGGTGGTACATGAGTGTAATCCCAACTACTCAGGTGGCTGAGGCATGAGAATCGCTTGAGCCCAGGAGGCAGAGGTTGCAGTGAGCTGAGATCATGCCACTGCACTCCAGCATGGGCAAAAGAGTGAGATACTGTCTCAGACAAAAAAAAAAAAAAAACCTTCACACATATTTATTAAGTGCACCCATGCAGTTCAAACCCATGTTGTTCAAGGATCAGCTGTATTAATTTCTCTCTCCACTGCCAAAACCCTTTTCAAAGCTCTATTACTGCCTAATAAGAATACTATATATTTATTTTCTTTTGTTTTTTTTTTGAGACAGAGTCTCACACTGTCGCCTAGGCTGGAGTGCAGTGGAGCGATCTTGACTCACTGCAAGCTCTGCCTCCCAGGTTCAAGTGATTCTCCTGCCTTAGCCTCCTGAGTAGTTGGGACTGCAGGCGCATGCCACCATGCCCAGCTAATTTTTGTATTTTTAGTAGAGACAGGGTTTCACTATATTGGCCGGGCTAGTCTCGAACTCCTAACCTCAGGTGATCCACCCACCTCGGCCTCCCAAATTGCTGGGATTACAGTCATGAGCCACCGCGCCCAGCCCGGGATTACTATATATTTCTTCAAGACTTCTACATCTTCACTTTCCATCTTTTAGTCATGCATAAAATCTGAATTTAGTTTTTTATCTGACATTAATTTTTCCCCTATTATCACTCTTATCAACTTTTAGCAACACTCTTACCATTAAATATTATATTCTCTAGCCGGGAGCAGTGGCTCATGCCTGTAATCCCAGCACTTTGGGAGGCCCAGGTGGGTGGATCACCTGAGGTCAGGAGTTCGATACTAACCTGAGCAACACAGTGAAACCCCATCTCTACTAAAAATTCAAAAATTAGCCAGGCATGGTGGCATGCACCTGTAGTCCCAGCTATTCACAAGGCTGAGACAGGAGAATTGCTTGAGCCCGGGAGGCGGAGGTTGCAGTGAGCTGAGATCATGCCACTGCACTCCAGCCTGGGTGACAGAGTGAGACATGTTCTCTCATTTTCCCATATTTATCAACCTAAATTATTCATATATGAATATACTGAAGTTAGCACTGCTCCTTGTTCTCTCTAGCACATTGAGGCTTTAACCAAGTAATTTCACATACATAAAACGGTTTGACTTCATGTATCTCTATTTTCTCCTGAGAGGACCAGTATATACCAGGTTACAGCCAATAACCTCTAAGTAGTTAACTAGGTATGAATGGCTGTGTATTATCATAGTAGATCTAGTCATTCAACAAATGCTTACTGAGCACCTTACCTTGTGCTTGCCATTATTCTAGACACTGGGAATACAGTTATGAACATTAGTAAATGGTACTGGACAGTATTAAACAGGCCAGGGAAATCTAGGCCAGTCTGTAGAGTTTGGTTTTAGCAAACCCAACAAATTTGAGCCACTAGAGCCATGCTGTCTCCAATATGGTACCCACTAGCCACATGAGGCTATTGAATTTCAATTTTAAATTAATTTAAATTAAATTAAAAATTCAGTTCCTGAGTTGCAACTAACCACATTTCAAGTGCTAAACGGCCACATGGGACTAGTGGCCACCATACTTAATAGTGTAATCGTAAAACATTCCCATCAACATGGGCCATTCTATTGGACAGTGCTGCTCTAGAGATAGTGGAACAAATATGGAAATTTTTGAGCCTATTCAAAATTTAAAATATGTCTTAGGACAGCATGATTCCCTAAATTAGAAGCTGGCCTAGGCCCAAATTGCCAAAAAGGTAGTAGTAACTAGGTTGATTCTTTGACCCAAACTAGTATTAACAACAACAACAAAAAATCTCAGGATGACACAGGTATATGGAATTCTTCTGAATTACACAGCATAAGTACGTGTATGCCTGTCCTACTTATACCCACTTAAAGGATACTTTTGGGTTTTGGACAACTTTCTTTTTTTTTTTTTTTTGAGACAGAGTCTTGCTCTGTCACCCAGGCTGCAGTGCAGTGGCACAATCTCGGCTCACTGCAAGCTCTGCCTCCCGGGTTCACGCCATTCTCCTGCCTCAGCCTCCTGAGTAGCTGGGACTACAGGCGCCCACCACCACGCCTGGCTAATTTTTTTTTGTATTTTTAGTAGAAACGGGTTTTCACTGCATTAGCCAGGATGGTCTTGATCTCCTGACCTCATGATCCACCCGCCTTGGCCTCCCAAAGTGCTGGGATTACAGGCGTGAGCCACCGCGCCCTGCCAGGGTTTTGGGCAGCTGTCTAAATAACCTCCTGCAAAAAACACTATTCCCCTTTTAAAAACAAGTTTTTAAGACACACCTAATAGAAGGAAATGTTGTAACTCGTAATCTGTGCTGACCCATCCCTCATTTTATTTACTAAACATTTATACTGTAACACTAGACTAGAGATTGTCAAATACAGATTCTAAGCTCTCAGAGAGCAGGGACAAGCTTTTCCTGAGTTCTGGAGCCCTCCTAATTGCTAGCCTCTCACTTTGTAACATTCTAATTTAATTTGTACCAAGGTTCTGCAAATATTTAGTGAATGTTGATTGATGGTCTGCACTCATCTGTTCTAACTTGTGTTTTTTTTTTTTTTCCATTCAGTCTTCCTGATCTATATTTTCTCTTTACTTAACAGACAGTGTGGAGCATTCATTATTAAGACAATTGGGCAGCTCTAGTCCAGCTCAACTGATTTCTTGTCCAATGATCCTTGTGTGGCCGAGATCCAGCTTCAACGAACCAGCTAGAAGCTGCGTGTTGTGAAACTTAGTGTTAGTTAATACCTCACCATACTCAGTTATTCCACTATAAGCTGTCTAAATTTGATGAAATTTGCTTTTTCAGCTGTTCTACAAAATTATTTAGGTAGATGTGGCATGTTGGTTTTTTATGTGCTAATCTAACTGTAATGACCTTTTCTACAACATGTTTTATCCATTCCATAAATAATAACCACATTGGGAATAGTGAGGTGTCTTTTATTTTCTCTGCTTTGTGTTATTTTTTCTTAACAAACTATTAGATGTTATGTTTCATATTATTTGATATTTATTTTCATATTTAGGATAAGAATCATTTTTAATTATAATACTTTTAATACTTTCATATATTTTACAACAGTATACTATTTAATCTTAATGACTTAATTCTATTTTTGCTTTGCTGTTTTGTCATTTAATATGCTTTTGTCTAATTTTTCATTCATTTGTTACTGTTACTCCTTATTTAATTTTGCATCTGCCATGGTTTTCAGAATCTGAATAGTATTTATACTTCTTTTTTTTATAACATTTTCCAAATATTAGAAATACCATCAACATGATCAATATTCTTGCCTTTTCATGTAATTTGACCATATTAAATTTTTTCTTCAATGTTTGAGACAACATTGAAATATTCCTATAACATAACTTATTTGGTATCAAATTTTATAAAATATGGATCCACCTTTGGAATTTTGATAAAAGAAGGGTTCATCTCTGACATGATCCCATAACATTGACTGAAATTCCACCAAATTAATGTTCTTTGAATGCTTTAATCCTTAAACCTTTTCTTCTTATATGCAACCAATATATTCAATTATATATGTGATTAATTTTTAAAAGGACAATTGTTTTCATAAAATGCAAAACTATTTTTTACACCAAAGGAAAATTTTAGATCCTGATTCTAAATAAAATTTTATAGTAAAAATTGGAAAATAGATGGGAGGGGGAGTCATTCAGTGTTCAAAAGGTATAGAACAAATCACAGGGGTTTTTAATCTCTAAAATTTCTACAGTAGTACAGGAAATATTCCTCTTTACATTCATTTGCAGTTCTTTCACTGACCTAATTTTAGGTGGAGGGGGCAGGGGTGCCATAAAAGTTGATATTCCCCTAATAAATCTATCTCTTTCCTCTCCTGTTTCAACCCCAAATGTATTTCATGCTCAGCAGCAGAAGAAGAAATAATAGGATATAGATCACAAAGGTTTTTCTGGTGAGTCAAATAGGGTGTTTTCTTTTGAAACCGTAATGAATATGTTTGCCATCAAATGGTTTCATGAGAACAGTAGAACCTTATGAATGTATACTAGCATACAAGGATCTCAAGTACATTAATTATTCTCAGTTTTAGGAATGTAAATAGATTAAGTCCCACAATGAAATTTCAAAAGTTTTTGTTCTGTAAGTAAAAAATTACTAACCACTGATGTTCGAGATTTTCTTTTAATAGCACTATCCTTGAGAACCAAAAAGTTTATGTTTTGATTTTCAAATGTTAAACAAGATGCTAAACAAATCCTGGACTGTTAATAAAAATTAATGATGTATTATTGGATAAGGAATTTTGATAATAATTGATACCCAAGTTTGTTTCTTCCACAGCTATATAGATTATATGCATACACATTTATACGTTTATATACATATATAAACACATATATAATCTATACATATGCACTTTCTTAGAATTTAGCTTTGAGAAGCTAATAAAAATTTTGAAGTTTGACAATTGAATAAATGGAGGATATCATTCAGCCTTCTTCATGGCCTAGCTTAATAGCCCAAACATGTTACTTTTTTTTTTAAGAGACAGTCTTGCTCTGGGGCCCAGGTTGGAATGCAGTTATGTGATCATGGCTCACTGTGACCTCAAACTCCTGAGCTCAAGCCATTCTTTCACCTCAGCCTCCCTAGTAGCTAGGATTACAGGTATGTACCACCACACCCAGGTAATGTTTTATTTTTTGTAGAGACAGGGTCTTACTAGGTTCCCCAAGCTGGTCTCAAACTCCTGGGTTCAAGTGATCCTCCTACTTTGGCCATCCAAAGTGCTGAGATTACAGGTGTGAGCCATTGTACCCGGCCCCACACATGTTACTTCTAAAAACAGATAGATTGAGAGAACAAAAATTCTCCTTACATATACTAAGTAAAGCCCATTTTATTTCTTTCTGTTTTGTAGTATATCTATAATAGATAATTTTGAAAATTAAGGTTTTACTTAGGACCCATTTCGAAAGGCCAATCTGAAGAAATTATCTGAAATTCACTGGATGTTAAAATAAAATGGATAATACAGATATTAATACAAGTACCAAAATCACATGGTAATAACTTCGCAGCCTGTTTTCCAAAAGTCTCTAATACAATCAGAGATAGAAGATGGTACCATGTCAAAAGACAAAGAATCTTGGGAAATTAGGCTTTAACTTCTTTTGTCAGCTGATTTCAGAAGGATGGCTTGGAAAGAGGTATGATTTAGTTTATAACAGATTGCTTTATAAATTTCTACTGACAAGAACAGTACAATTATTTTCAAACACATTTATACATGATAACCCCCATATGTAAGAGTGTGTTTCCTGGATTTATGCTACACTTAACTATAAAATAATGATTTGAGGTCACACACAAAAATTCTTTGTATCTTTCCCAGAAATTGCACTTCAATAGAATTAAAATACAGAATCAAAGGACTTTAGGAGGGCATCCGATACAGCTTCAATATCAAGCTTCAACATGCTCTTTGTTACTGTAATAAATCGTTGGCCTCTAGACCTATAGTTTAACTCCAATTTATCCTGAAATCACTATAGACTTAAAAGTGGCAAAGAGGAAAATTATACCCAAAGAATTAACATAAATAATATTCATAATTGGTGCTGTTTCTTTCAACTCTATTCAGCGTTTTTATCCCTGTGCATAAGTCGTTAAAAATATGGCATCAGCTTTGTCCTTCCATGTTGAATACCATTCTCTGATTAGCAACTACAGTGGCTGCTGTTTGTTGGACTTACTCTTCCCTTTGAAATACAGGAGTGTGAGAAGTGGCCTCTCTATACTTAGATACCAAGGCCCCTCACTTCCTCCCCTGCTAAGAGTCTTCTCACTTCAGGAGATAAGCAACAGTTGGTGGTGGTTCATCAGAGAAAATTTGGGGGACCTAGATCCTCACACTTCTTGGGATGTACCCATAAGATTCTGGTATACCCTTAGGCCTGAAAAGAGAATGTCTAAGAAGAAAGTTCTTTAATTAGACTCCTACTTTTTTCTTCTCCATTTCTTCCTTCATGAGATGGTGAAGATAAAACACATCTCTAAGAGTTTTTATTTCCTGGGAAAAAAATATCATTTTAAAAGATGGTAGTTTTGTGCTGTTATTTTGTTCTATAATGAGTCAGGTTTCTTTCCAGAGGTATAAAGCCTTCAGAGTAGCCCCCTAATGTTTTAATATTTATTTTCTCCCTTTACTAACCACTAACAAGTTCTGTGGCATTCTCTCTATACCTTTGTCTTTGATAGGTTTTATTCCTTTAAAAAGTATTTGTGAAGGCTGAGTCTATCATACAATCTATGCGTTATCTCAGTAAAGTATTTTCTTCATCAAATGGGACTTGTGGTATTTACATTAATAGTGGCTTTACTTTCACTCATGAAGCATTTGAGATAAAAAGCATTTCTAAGTTCATCCTTCAATATCTCATAGTATTTGAATTTCAGATGCCCGTTGGGGTAAAATTGCTCATGTCATCATTCATTCTGTTTTTCTAATTAATCTAATGGAATATAATCATCTGAAACTTGAGGCTTTGTGATAATCTATAGTGAAGTCCTTTTATAGAAATATCTTGGTGACTGGAGCTTTTATATAACTATATTATATATATTATATATATCCACAAATATGTGTATGCATACATGTATACATATAAAGAAGTATAACAGAGAAAACATATTAATTAGAACAGACAATATTATTGTAACATTACTTATTAACAAGTAGTGTGGCACCTATTTTAGGTGTCTGGACTGGGAATCTGAGGCTAGAGACAGGTTCTAATTTTTTAACAGGTGACTTTTTGCAGCTTTATCTAACAGCTATCATTCCATCCCTTTGTAGAGGATATCAAAAAAGCAACTGATAAATCCCATCTAATTAATGGATCAAAATTCTGTGGACTTATTTCTAGTTTTGGGGGGAACTGACCAACATCTGATTTTTGAGAATATAAAAGTCTGAATTCCTTGTTAAGATTTAGTTCTTGGTCAGGCGCAGTGGCTCACCTCTGTAATCCCAGCACTTTGGGAGGCTGAGGTGGGCGGATCATGAGGTCAGGAGATCGAGACCATCCTGGCCAACATGGTGAAACCCTGTCTCTACTAAAATACAAAAAATTAGCCAAGTGTGGTGGTATGCGCCTGTAGTCCCAGCTACTCGGGAGGCTGAGGCAGGAGAATAGCTTGAAACCAGGAGGCAGAGATTGCAGTGAGCCGAGATCACGCCACTGCACTCCAGCCTGGTGACAGAGCAAGATTCCGTCTCAAAAAAAAAAAAAAAAGATTTAGTTATTCTTGCATCAAATGTTTAACTGATGGTTTCCTACAGAACTGGAGTATATATATTTGTTTGTATTGGCAGTCTAAAGCATTATTTATTTTTTCCCCTACTCCCCACTGAGTAAATGACTTTGTTATCTTAGTAACCATATTAAAAACAGCAAGGGAGAATTCAGAACATCTTTTCACATCACCTTCAGTGTGCACAGGCTCCTTTGTTAGCCCCACTGTGCCATGTGAATATTATGGTTATGCCATGATATGGGAAAAGTTTAGAAAGCAGAAGAAAAGATAAATATGTTTGTTTTTTTATGGGACTTTTTGAAATTAAACACTTTTTTTAAAGATTCAAACTTTGAATTGGGCTGTAAACCTAACACTGTACAACTCATTCAATACAACTCATTAATTCACTTGCTTCTTGAAAATTACTTTCTAAATCACTGTCACCTTTGCTTAAATTTTATATATCCATTACAGAGAATTCAGCTTTCCTTATTTTCTTCTAAATGATGAATTATTTGGAGAAACATCCAGAATTCATCCTAAATATCATTTCTTCATATAAATCATCCAGTTGGTCTTTCCTTATTAAACATCCTTCAAACCAAACATCTTCATACATGCTAGCTAAAGGTAAGTGACAGTACAGTTTTTACTGACATGATTTAATCTCAGGTCATGCAGTTTCAAAAGAAATCTCATCTTTATTTAAATAAAGTACAGTTAGTTCTATTAAAGTAAGGCAGACTTACAATTACAGTCTGCCTGAATAAGGTCATGTGTAGTAACATAACTACATCTCTTCTCAGAACTGATTACATCCTTAGACACATGTCAAGTTCCAATGTAATTATTAGTTTAACCTTCTCTGAAACAACATTATATGGACTCAGAATTAGGAGTCCTTGTTCTCCAACATATATTTCCTCTGGAATCTCACCCCCACCTGCATTGATGAGCAGCAGACTTGATTTTTATTATCTATATAGAAATCAAGGTGATTCACCTATAGATGAGGTCCTCTGATGTTTCATCAGTCAT